TAACCTATACTAACATATTCGCTTGGAAAATGTTCTCTTAAAAATTACTCAACGAAATATTTTTGACATATGTTAAGATCATTAGAGCAGTCTTTTTCTTTTTTTTATATTTTTATATTTTTTATAACATCTTATATCTTTAATCTTTTAATTTGAATGTTAAATTTTTTTATAAAGTATATATGAAATCAAAAATACTATATTCTAAGAAACATTAATAACATATAATATTTACATGACTTAATATAACTTATAATACGATTGATATTGTTATTAATACAAAATAAATTTAATTTTTATTTTCTAATAACTATATAAAGAATTATTTTTTTATTTCGTGAATTTTTTACTTTTATTGATATTCTCGTATAATGAATTTATAACAAATATTTTGTAAAAAAAAAATCTTCGATTCGGAACATTTTTTTATTTTTTTTTATAATTTAATAATTATTAATAAATATAGATAAAATATAATGATTTTTAATATCTAAATTCATTTATTTGAAATAATTGATTTATATTGAATATATTCTTAAGTTTAGTAATTTTGGAATACTATATAGTTAATTCGATATTAAGATTTTTTTCTTTGGCTTATATGTGCTATTATTAATGCATAATTAAATATGTCTCATGCATTGGAGACAAGTGTAAATTTCTCGATGTTACGAATATTATCGTAAATCTATATATAATATTATATAATAATAACAAATTTTACATAAATGCATTGTAAAATTAAATTCTTAGATTTTAAACAATTAATTTAACCTTATCTTTAAAACATAAAAAAAAAAAATAAATAGAAAATATCAAACTAATAAATATTGTATAGTTATACAATAGATCAACTTAAGAATTTTTTCGTATTATTTTTTTTTAACTTAAAGTCATTTTTTATTTAAATGTTTATAAGTAATAAATCATAAAATATAATTATTTTTTATAAAACAAAATTCTATCTTATTTTTTGTGGAAAAATTTTTTCCGCAGATTTCTTTAACAAAATAAGTTTCATCTAAGTAATTTTTTAAAATCTTCTTCATTTATTATTTATAAGTACTTAGAAAAAACGATATGAACAAAAAGACCATTCTTTTTGGTATTTTCTTTAAAGAAAAGAAATAAATCAAATAGGAAAAATTTTTTAGCTTACGATTAGTCCAATTGTAAAAAATATTATGCAGAATTTCATTTTATTTCATAAAAATTAATTTATATTCTTTATCATTTTACCATTTCATTTTGTTTTTATTATAATTCAATGAATATTTTCTCAATAAAGATATATAGATAAATAAAAAAACATTTTTTTGCATGAATTAAACAAAACGAATTTGATGTGTTTATTTTTTGCATATCAATGAGAATAAAAAAATTTATATGAAATCATTCATTAATTCTTAATTTAATTTATAAATTATTATTACTAAGATATAAATATATATCCATAAAACCTATACAATGTAAGGAAAAGGTAAGGAAACGGACACGTTATTGAAAGAGACATTGTAAATTTCTTGATAAAAAATCTTTCAAGACGATCATTTTTTTTATTTCATAGCAATATTCGTGCATATGCATTTACATTCAGTTTTAAGTCATATTCTATCAAGTTTAATATGATTGAATTTTTTCAATATCAAAAGTAAAAGTTCTAATAGTTTTTCGAAATAGTTTTGCGAAATATTATTATTATAACTATTTATAACTATTTCTTTCTTACTATATCTAAACAAGTATTTATTTAAAAAGAATAATATGAATTATCCGGTATTTTTAATATTACTAATTATTGATTAGGTGTCCATTTATTTGACAAGTTTATAAAAAGGACATAACGAATAATTGTAAAAGAGATATTATTTCCATAATTATTCTTTTCAAAAATATTTTCAATTTTAAGAATATACGTTTATTGTATGATAAAACATTCTTTTTTTGGATATTTTTTTTTACATTTTTAATTCAAATATGCCACATAGAAAATCGTGTTGCAAATAAATAGTATAAATAAAATACAAAAAATAATAAAATAATACAAAAAGAAAATTTAATAAGAATAATTATAAATTCTTTTAATATAGTTAAATTATAATAATTAATATTATTAACTTAATATTAACTAATTAGACTTAGAAACTACTTTGTTTATGAATCAAATATTAATAATAAAATCTATTTATCATAAATGAAAAATGTTATCTTTCATATTATTTAAAAAATTTCAAAATATGCTGTGGATTAACCATTATCCATACAGTAAAGAATTTTGCATATTAATATGATCTATATATAAAAAAAAGTAGTAAAAAATTTAAATTCAAAAATTTATTAAAAAGAACGAATATTGATAATGGTAGTATTTATTTTGACAATTAAATAAACCAATAATAATATATCTGAAGAAATAATAATTAATGAAATAGTATTAATATTTTTCTTTTTTATTTTTTTCAATACAATTAAAATATATTTTTTTAAAAAATGAAAAAAGATACGTATATAATATAAAATGAGATTAATATCAGATATACTTATAGCTAGATAGTTGACCTTTACAATATTATCAATTAGAAGTAGAATAAGTTTTTAGTTTTTTTTCTTGTTCGAAACAAAACAAAACAACATAACAAAACAAAAATAATCTTTTTATATCATATCTCATATTTTATATTATATTATGTTATGTAAATATTGTGTGTTATATAATATATATTATTATTATCGTAAATTTTAATATTATACGAATTTATATTATATATATATATATTATTAAAAAAATTTATATTGTATAAGAATCTATAATATATATATATATTGATACTATTAAATACAAAGTATATAAAGTGTATAATTTAAATGAATTTAATTTCAAATATTTATCGAAATTTTTTTATAGTTTAATTGTTTTTGTTAATTATTAAAACAACATTATAGTAACATAGACTAATATAAATATAATAATTATAATACACTTTATCATAATGAATTTATCATAAATTTAAGTAAAAAGTTAATATAAAATATAAGTTATATAAAAATGTAAATCAAATTAATATCCCTAATAAAACTTATAAATTTTTTTATATTTTTTGCTATTGCAAAGTTTGAATAAATTTTAAATTTTAATGAAATATTTAATATTAAAAGAAATTTCAATGTAATTATATAATTATATAAATATTAATGTAATTTTAATGTAATTTAATTATTAAGTTTAGAATAATATGGAATAAAAATTTTAAAAATATGTTATTGATAAAAAATAAATTAATTATGATAATCTGAACAGACATTAAAAAAAATCTTTATTTTAATAAATATAGGAATGAAACAATCTTTTTTAAGAGAATCATATTCAATGTATCTGTTTATCGTCCATATGATAATCATTAAATTGATATAAGTACTTAGAAAATTGATATAAGTACTTTGTCCCAGGAAAATGCATAGACTTCGATGATAAAAAAAAAAATGAAAAAGAAGAAGCATAATTTTTAATCTATACTTACATTGTTGCTTATGCCTGGATTCCATAAGGATCATTTGTTCGTGTTTGTGCCATGCAGCATCAGTAGTGTCTGTTCCCGCCATACCCCTCGCACCTGCAGAGGGTGGTTGGACACCCCCACGGCCCCCACCGCCTCCGCCCCCGCCGCTTCCATACTCCATACCAGCGGCACCCTTACCCTTCCCTCCCTCCCACCCTTTCACTTCTGCCCCCGGCAGTCTTCAGACGCTCACAACATGGGGCACGCCAGCCCTCTCAATACCGCTTCACAGCGCGCGCACTTTTTCTTCTCTCTTTCCCTTTTTCACCGCACTTCTCTTTTTCTCTTCTTTTTTTCTCTTCAGCCTTTCTTTTCCAGGTGTTCTTTTTCACGATCTCTTTCTTTTTCTTCTTCTCTCAATCACTACACTCTTGTTTTTTCAGCTGTTTTCGTCGATTCTTTTCTCTTTTTCTTCTCTCTCTCTCTCTCTCTCTTCTCTCTCTCTCTCTCTCTCTCTTCTTCTTCTTCTTCTTCTTTCTTTCTTT